ACGAAAATCAGCGACCACACACACAAACACCCGGAAAAACACCACAGAACCGACACGGGAGCGCCCCAGGAGGCGCTCCAACAACCGGCACAAGGACACGAGGCGTACGCGCGAGAAACTGAGCGGCCATCTTGAAGTGCCGATATAGACTGATAGCGAGCGAGCGAGACAGACTGAGACAGAGCGAGCGAGACAGAGCGAGCGAGACAGAGCGAGCGAAATAGACGAAACAAGAGCGAGCGAGACAGACGATATAAAATAATAGAATAATATGTAAATGCGAAGATGAGGGCGCTACAAATGAAACGGCGTATATTATATACGTATCTCCGATATTAAAATTAAAATTATAAATTGAAAATGATGAACACGAAACAAATATAGAATTGTAAAATTCGTACGCGACCGACACCCCTATTATGATGGCGAGCGACAACTACCCCCTTTAGGTTTTAATGATAATTTAACTAACCGAATTCGAACATCTGACAAAATTCGCTAGTGACGTCACGACCAATAGGCAAATTAGAATAAAATTTGATTTCCGTCCGCATAGACGAATAGATAAGAGTAGGAGTAGATCTTTTCCGACAATTAATGATAGATACCTTAGTGGGGGGTGAGAGAGAGTAAATAACGACGAAAGTAGGAGAGTTAAGGAGGGCGCTGTATTATTCTAATTTACATACGGACCAATGATAAAAATTCGGAGGGCGCTACCGATATCCGAATTAGCATACCGACCAATAATAACATTTCTTCTCGGAAAGAGGAGAAGAGAAACGATGTTTGACCGCGAGAAGCCGATTCTCGTCCATTTTGCCACTGGATATCCGCAAGGAAGGAGCCTCTCTCTATCAGCTAATCTCGCTGTCGATTTATTAGCGCTAGACGCCTCAGATTTGTGTCAATTTCATTTGCTAATACTGCAAGGAGGAAATTGTAAGTAGGCAAAGTGCCACTCGTTTTGTTTAATCGCGGAGTGCGGGTTAAATTAGTTAAATTGTTTAGTTCGGTGCTGTAGGTCGTCGCGACGCGTGGATCCGTCGACGCCGGTGCCTACCGAATCGTGCTGACCTGTCCGCCATTCCGTGAAAATAAGTTGAGTGTTCGGTTTACGAAATAGAATTGCGATCTAGGATTCGCGCTGACCCTTCGTTTACCAGTTATTAAGAGTAGAGTTTACGGAAGAAAATTGCCATGAATTTTCTTTTAAAAGAAAATTAGTATTCGCGCTGACCTTTCGTCTACTTTTATTAAGTGTTCGTTTTATGAAAGAAAATCGCTACTTGGTATTCGCGCTGATCTTTCGTCACGCTTATTAAGTTCGTCTTACAAAAGAAAATTGCAATTTAGTATTCGCGCTGACCTTTCGTTAGTTACTTAGTACAAACGTAGGTTCAATTGAATTAAATTGTCTTGACTAATTAGTTGTGCTGACCTTTCCGCCATTTCGCAAACCGAATTTGAGCGTTAGGTCTTATAAAAGAAAATTGCGATTTGTTACTCGCGCTGACCTTTCCACCATTTTAGGAACCGATTAAATTGTATTTTTAGGGATTAATGAAAACTCAGAATTTTACCGACCATATTTATTCCGACCTCGTATGTGAAAAATTTTAATGCATCAATAAAACGATTAATTATCTTTATATTTATATATATAAAATTTACTGGATAACCTACCCCTGTTGCATGCTAGCGATTTTCAGCCGCGAGCGGTTACATACGGGTTTCATTAATTCGCTATATTTTCGGATTATTCGTTAGGTAAAATACGCGCGATTTCGAACGTCCTCACGACCTGACTTAAGGAGTCATCATCTGAGCTGCCGGCGTACTCTAGTCAAGGAGAAACCGAAGGAAAGTTGGACACCAGAGGCCTGAAATTAGGATACAACGCGTATCCCCCCATCTGCCCACTCTGCGCAGTCGCCTTTAGGCAGACCGGGATACGCGACACCCGACTGGCCTTACCCCCGACGATCGCCGTAATCAGCCGACGGTCTGGCGCCCTAAATAATCGGGGGTAGAGCCAAACAGGCCTTGTGGCGGAAGAACTCGGAGCGCGGTCAAACCCCCCGAAATTCCCTGCCACACATTATATATGATAAATTAGATATGATATATGTTAGATACTCAGCTCGTATTTCGGTTTTCGATCATTAATCCGAAGCATTCGTATCTAGTCTCTAAGTTACTTAATAAATTTCTTCCGATTTTTGAAACTTCGAATTTCCCACAAACATAGAAATGGTCATGACTGCTATTACACTAGTGAGAAATAAATTGTGTTCTTGTAACATTAAATACTATAAACATAAAATTTCCCACGAATGTAGAGCTGTGGTCTCTTGATGATGACGATCGTGCCGACTTGCTCACCTTGACCATCCTACATTAAAACCCTTGTGACGTCGGTTGACGAAACAATTCTCAGGCGCACTTTTTGGTCTATCCTTGCGGACAATAACCGGGACGTGCGTTACCACTATCGCGGGAAATTCCTTTTTTCGGCGACGGAGGATCGAAGCTTTGCTGTACCACACGCTAGGCAATATAGCAATACTTCGCGTTATTTTACCACACTCTTGGCAATAAAATAACGTAAAGGGAGCCTATCTAATATGCACTCGACCACACGCTTGGCAATCGAGTGTAACTATCTAAGAAAGAAAATCCCGTACGCGAAACTAGGAAGAGTAAGGAGAGAGAAGTTAAAGGAGAGTAGTTAGAATGTAAAAAATTTTATTTAATTTTTCTTACTCACTTTTATAATGGTTTTCCCACACACACACTAAAAGATTGACTGGGTCTGGACGAACTTGAAGAATAGCTAACGAATTCAAATAAATTGTACGAACTGAATGAACTAAATCTGAGCTACTAACTTTGAACGAACTGAATTTCGAAAAAAAAATAATAATGTAATGCCTGAATTTTCGTGAAAAGATCTCTTTTATACTTTTTTACAAGAGACTCCCACTCGAGAATCTTTGTCATTTTTGGGCAGGAAGAACTAAAATTTTCTCAACTTAGTTGGTTGGAAAATTTGGGGAGTATCTCAGCGTAAGCAAGGTTCGAATCCTAATTGGCCGGGGGCGGAGTGTGCGGGTGTGGCTTCATTTTAGTGTTTTGGGCCCTCTTCGCATAGATGGCCCTCTATGTACTATTCTGGCCTTTATCTATTTAAACTAATTTTATTTAAAATTAATTGTGTGTGTGGTACTCTAATTTTACAAAAATGTTTCTTAATCTATAATAAAACTAAATGATAGAACAAAAGTTAAGAATTACATTTATCTAAGAACAATTAGGATATTAATAGTTTTAACTATTAATTGATTATTAAAAAGTTTTGAGAAATGCTGAAAAAATCAGAGTTAATTGCAACAAACATAATTAATAACTTTCATTCAAGTCATTCTTAAATTGTCTAACGCAAAGTTGAGCGCACCCAACAATTATATATACGAAACTCGTAAAGAAAATGTACCAATAAATACGGGAAGACAAATTTCGCAATTTTTCGAGAGACCTGCAAGCAAATCTGTTTCCTTTAATTTAAAAGAAATTAGCAAAAATGAAAATAAATTATTTAAAATAAAATAATAGTACTGTTGGCAGGATGCACATGTGCGCTACAGATCTCTTCTTTCTTAACATGCGCGCAATCTGACTACTCCGGATGACGCGATCGTAAAATCGCCCTGATAATCTCCAGTACCCGAAAGTCGCCAGATGCACGAGCCGAAAACTGCCGTTCACAGGAAAAATCGTTTTTATTCATCCGCACGCAGTTTTTCATCTTAATTTACGAGCTAAATGTGTGGTCGGTATTTTTTTTCTTTATTCTCTCTTTTTTTTTTTGAACCGCCGTTACACCCTACATAGTACTCTCTTGTATTCCGGCCATGACAGCACCATGCCTTTACCCCCCAAAACACTATAGGAAAATAAAAAGAGATAAAAAGTTTTTTCTCACCCTTGTCACATGTAGTTATCGTAAGTCTCGCCACACGAAAAATGAAATGTATTCTATTATGATTGTGAAAACTTTTCAGGTGCCGAAAAAGTTGAAGGTCTAATTTCTGTATGCTGTTAGTAATTTATGAAAAATACTTTGATTAAAGGAGAGTTGATACAAAGATTAACTCAGATTCACACATCTAACATAATATGATCCTAATTATAGTATCGAAAACATTGCTATTTCGGTATGACCAATTAATTTTATTTCAAAATAAAACGCCGATAAGTCGGTAAGTTCGGTGACAGCGCCGACCCAACGCTGATATGCGGCCGAGCAAGTGTCGTAGGGCCTGTGAACGTCCACTATTATCGCTCACTGTGTCGCATCTAATGATCGCTCGATGAATTTTCAAACGGATTCTTAAAGAAAAAATGTCAAGGAATTCAATTAAAAAGAATTTTTAAAATTAAAGTAACACTTTTTGAGATATGGCCAATTGTTAAAAAAAATGTTAATAACTTTTGGAAAAATTGATATTAAAGTATTGTTTGCTTAATATCTTCAAAGTACACCTTTTTACGCGTAATTTAAAAAAATTCGTTTCAATAACTTTAATGGTTACGGAGATATAAATTTTTGAAAATTTTTTAATAAACTAGAAGCATCAATAATTTTTTCTTTAACTTATAATGAATAATAGTGCATTACAATTCACTCGTGTGATAATCTTATCGCAGTAAAGAATAATTATCTGGCTTATTCCATACCTTGAGCGAAGTCAAATCCGCTGAACACGGTTCTCAACTAAGTCCTATTAATATTAACACCAAGTGCTATAATAAATGTTCTACTTGTTAAGTTTGCTATTCAACTTGATCTAGATATTTACTATGTTTTCTTTCATACCTTTATAATAATACATACCATTACGGTTTGTACACACATACACATACTGAAATTGTTTATTAGTGCGCACGAATTTCTTTGTAAAATTTATTACATTAGATATATTAATAAAATATCTTACTTGTAATTGTATTTTTCCGCTTCCTCTTCATTATAAAACTGAAAAATAAAAAAAAATAAATTAATAAATTGTAAATATTATTCAAAATCCATTTTTTTCAAAGTATTTCGAGCATGGAAAAAGAAGTAGTACAAATTTGACAAATTATTAATATTCTACTTTTCGATTATGTAATATATATGTCTCTATGAAAATCATTATAAGTGTTACGACCTAAGATAAAAAGATGGAAAGAATAAGGGAAAATTTGCTTGCACTTCTCTTTGAACCTCAACACAATTTTATACGGTTTTTTCAGTTCGATAAATAATAATCGAATAACTTCTACATGCCCGGACTTCTACAAACTACTGCTGTTGCTGCTTATTATCTTTTTCTAACCAAAACCTTACTCTCCTTTCGGCTTACGTATCTGTTTACTGTTTTTTGCTGCTGCCTATTGTTGCCATGTTACACTACTGCTTGCTGTTTCTCATAAAGAATTAAAACGGGACTTAGGAAAAACAAACTTCGCGATAATTCTAATAACTTTATTGCCAAGGCAAGATTAACAAGGTAAAAGAAATGTTCCGGTACTAGCTGTTCGACGCATTGATTGAAACTAAAATTGAGGTTATACAGTGGACTCAATCAGTTATCTGCCGAGGCTCATACTTCGTTTCGCGCTAAACTATTCTACGGATCTCCGCAACCAAAAACTGCAAAGTTGTAGTCTTTGCTTGCGAAAATTCTCTCTTGCACAATTTTTTTATCAAGAGTATTTCTAGCTCAGTAAAATCGCCTTTTTATATTATCATAAAAATGATCACTGATTGGTATATATTGATGTATATTGTTTGCAGAATTAATCTCGTGTTAAATTAAAAAATACGAACTTTTTGTAAAATATATATTTCTAAGACAGTCTAATAAAAGCAATTTTTCAAGGCACATAAATTCTTTAATAAATATGAAATCTCATAATTTAAACTCTGAGTTTATTCACGATCTATTTACCATATTTCTTATTACTACAAGGATCGTTTAATAAATCCGTAGTTTCTCGGAAGATCGTGATATTATCATTACGCATTTTACACTATAAGAGAGTCCCATCTAGTATAAGTGCGTATACAATATTTCAAGTTAATACGTTGGTTTGGAAATTTTTTACAGTCACTTGAATTTTTTTTTTTTTTTTTTTTTTTTTTTTTAATTTATTAAACGGGCATAAACCCATATCAAGATACATATAAATATAATAATAAAATATATAATATAAACAAAAAGAAGTATAAATAATTAATAAAACGACAATAGTGAGCAGAAAAAAAAAATAAACGGAATAGCTATAAACAATATCCAAAAGTCGACAAAACAATACAATAGAAAAATAGTAAAATAAAAAATAAAAAAGTAACACAATAAAGGAAAAGAAAAGAGAAAAACAAAATATAAAAAAGAATAATAACTAATAACTAATAAATAATAACTAATATAAAAAAATAATAAAAGAATAATAAAAAAGAATAATAAAAAAAATAATAATAACAAAAATTAACATGTAGAAAGGGAGAAGCAGCCAAGATAGGTGGGTAAAAGGGAAGAAATAGGTGAGGTGTCACGTGACAGAAGAAAAGAAAAATAAGACACTAGCGAAACACCGCAGTATTCGCACGAACAAGCCGTTTAAAAGCGCCCAAGCAAACTGAGTGAACATCCAGCGGAGTTGACAAATTATTAATAATGAGGCAAGATCGATCAATAATTGATAAATGGTTAAAATTCCACCTACGTGAACGGATGAAAAAGGTATGATTACGGGCACGAAGAGTGCGTGCTGGGACAATATAGAGGATACGGTTAGAGAGTGAAATCGAATCGATGAAATTATGACATAATTTATAAATGAAAAATGCAGACTGGTAATTAATGAAGGAAGTGACGGTACTAATATGAAATGAGTTTGCAATGGCAGAGTAGTCATGAGAGAAGGGATCCATACGTGGGCCAAATTTATTAGCTAAAAAACGCAGAAAACGATGCTGAACAGTCTCTAGTAACTTAGATTGCTGGTCAAAACGTGGAGCCCAAATAACTGACGCATACGTGAGACGAGAGCGAATATTACCATTATAAAGTGCAATGAGGGAGGCTGGTCGCTTAAAGGCACGACATTGCCTAAACAGTAGAAAAAGTGACCTGGATGCCATACAGCAGGACTGATTAATGTGAGCGGTGAACGATAAACTCCGATCGAACAATACTCCCAGATCTTTAAACTCCGTCACCCTACAACTTGCAAGATCCATACAAAAATAGTCGAATATATAAGACGCTTTACATCGAAAAAATGAAAGGACTGCACATTTATCAGTATTTAACAAGAGCCTATTAACTGAGCACCAATCAGAAAACCTCAGCAGATCCAGCTGTAACTCATCGGCATCATTCCTAGATGTAATAACTTTAAAAATTTTAGCGTCGTCAGCATAGAAAGAGATGCAGGAAGAACGAATAACGGAAAATGCATCATTTACAAAGGTAATGAAAAATAGTGGACCAAGGTGCGAACCCTGCGGTACCCCAGAGGTAGCCAGATAAGATGAGGAGATGAATTTCAGGAGCTTAACGGATTAGGTTCTATGTGATAGGTATGAAGAGCACCAGGATAGAAGAGGGCCATGAATACCATAGAACGATAACTTAGCAGCCAGAAGTTGATGATTAACACAATCAAACGCACTGGTAAGATCAGTGTAAATCGTATCAACCTGCCGATCGTCATCGAATGCGACCGTAAGAAATTCAATGAACTCCGCGAGATTAGTAACCGTTGAACGGCGCGGAACAAAACCATGCTGGGAGACATTAATGACACGAAGAAGGAAACGAGAAAGTCGTATGGACACCAGATGATCACACAGCTTAGAAAGCACGCTGAGCTTGGCAGTTGGACGATAATTACAAACATTTCTCATGTCACCACGCCTCTTATACACCGGAATGATAAAAGCTTGTTTCCAAGCAGTAGGAAAGGTACCAGATCGTAAAGATAAATTCATAATATACATAATCGGTTGAGCTAAACAATTGGTACAATTTACAAAAAAAGTTGACGGGATTCCATCGAGTCCGGCCGCAGATGACGGTTTCAGTCCAGCAAGGCCCTGAGTTACCTCTTCAATATCAAGAGAAATGTCCGACAGCGTATTAGAATCAAACGTTAGCCCCTCGAAACCATTAAGTAGTGAAGTTGAAGAAAAAACCGAAGAAAATCGCTCCGCAAACAAGTTGACAATATCCGGGCCATCATGGGCATCGATACTATTATAATACATACTATCAGGATAGCCAGAGCAACAATCCCTAGGGTTAGCAAACCTCCAGAACTCTCCAGGATCAGACTCCAATGACTCCTCAACATCACTAATAAATCGACTGTAGTCGCGCAACGTCAGACGCTTGCAAATTATCCGGAAGCTCCTGAAGTCATGCAATGCCTGACCATCTCCCGAAGCCTTAAATATCCGGTGGGCCATCTTCTTCTGAGAAATCGCAGCTCTCAATTCGTCTGTCATCCAACTCGGGAATCTAGCAGTAAAAGAGCCAGTAAGTGGAACGTTGCAGCTAATAATTTCGAATAATTTCCGGTAAAAACAATCAAGCGCCATGTCAACGTCCCACTCATGACGACCAAGGAGATCATTCCAATTTGTCGACGCCAGAGCAGCATTAATACTGCTATAATTTGCCTTTTTAAAGTTGAAGGAAGCAGAAGCATTAAATGGTAGAGAGCTCGGTGAAGCCACTGCAACACAGTTCAAATTAATAATGACAGGTTCGTGATGTCTGTCCGATGGTGTCAGAGGATCCAAAGCCGTGCAGAGAGACGCCGGAATACTACAAAATGCCAGATCAAGCGTGCTTCCAGAGCAATTTGTTGAACGAATCAACTGAGCGCACTTAAGAGAGCTCGTACAACTCTCCAATCTAGATGCCGAATCACGAATATAGTAGTCCTACTTGCTAGTGCATCAGATGAAAGCACACCATCAAAAGCCGACCACGTGCAGCGGGGAAGGTTGAAGTCACCCACAATGAGAACGGTACACTCAGGATATCCGGCAGCTGAATCCTCCAGAGAACAGCAAAAGGAATCCAAAGATGACTCGAATATCACCGGTGAGAGAGACGTAACTGGCGGCAGATAAGCAACGGAGAGAAGTAGCGGTGCTCCATAGTCAAGCTTCAGAGTCACATGCTCCAAATCGTAATTGAGGGTATGTACTGTTACAAAGGAGCATGCGCTCTCAATCCAAACGAGGATACCACCTCCCCTTGATCTGCCACTCCGAACCTTACAGCGATCCAATCTCACGAGCGAGTAGCCAGGAATCCTCAGCATAGCATCATCCACCGTGTCATCCAACCAGGATTCAGTGAGGGCAATTATATTAAACTTTTGCGCACATGTTAATACATTATTTATAAAAGTAGTGATGGAAGATTTAATGCTACCAACGTTCTGGTAGTAAATAGAAAGAAGATTGGGTATCTCGGCTGCACTTATGTGTTTTTTGTTGAGGTGATGGAGGGTACGCCATTGAAAAATTTAATTTTGAGATCCTTCTCACCGGCCTGTATTCTAGAATTGATGTCGGCAATGGTCTCACGCAACAACTGCCGCTGAAAAGCCGATCGGTCCGGGCCACACTTCGCGTTAGGCACCGATTTAAGCAAATCCGGTGAGTGACGCAAGAACCACCGCGCCTCAACAGCAGACCGAAGAATGAGTTTCAATGGACGAGTCCTGTCCTCAGCCCTCTTTCCAAGGCGCAAAGTGGTGAGCAATGAAGCATCGATACTTGCCCCCACAAGTAGCGCCGCCACTGCCGCTGTGTCCTCGGCCGACGAGACATGTTCAGGGAAATTGTATATAATACAATTACATTCCCTTCTCCGCTGCTCGTTCATCTCCGCGAGAGTAACCGTATCAATCTTTGTGGAGGACTCACCGACACAACTTTGCACCCTTGCCAGCCTAACCTCG